TATATGATAGCAAATAGCCTGCGTAAATCGCAGGAAGTTTTCTTTTACTAAATACATATTGTTTTGTTTTGGATACTTTCTTAACATGAAGATATTGTTGTCTTCAAATGATATTTGACTCATGATTTCCTCCTATTTTTCTGAATATATTAATGAAAATTGATAAGAACGTAAAGAATGAAGTTACTGAATTGCTTACACTGACTTTTTTGACGACTAACAAAACTAAATTTCTTCTTGCATGTGTAGCTATCATGTCCACATTTAAGAATTATTTCGATTATACTACCTGTCAGACCTTCGAGGGACGATCAAAAAGTCGTCCCATTCCGTCCTGTGTTCCGCCGCATCCTGTTACATGAACGTAACTCTTCTTTCTCGAAGTACAGTTGAAAAAAGATCCATCTTCTTCAGTCTAAATTATCTATCTTACCATTCAACTGTTCCAGAGCAACATCTATACGGCAACATTATTATCACAAAAGAAATGATTTTTTCATCTTTAAAATATTTCTATCGCTTGGGAAACCGACCAAAAAGACTTTCGAATGTTCGCAAACACAAATAGGTTTCAGAGTCGGTCTAAGAAAAATTTTTGGAAGATTTTCGAATAGAAAAAACGATTCCTGAAGGCTCGAAAACTCTTAAAGAATTATCGATAGTAACAAGTTCAGAAACCAAAAAGGTTTCCAAAGAAAGAAATCCATTTTTTGAGATTCGGCAACCCTTTTCGGTTTCGGAGTTCGATACTATCGGAAACTCTAAGAGTTTTCGAGCCTTTAAACATTCTTTTTTTCCACTTGAAAACCTTCCAATGAGTGTTTTTTAGACAGACTTGAAAACTTCTTTGGGTTTTCGAACATTTGAAAACCTTTTTGGTCCATTTTTCAGGCGATCAACATTTTTTAGAGTGTTGGTAAGACCGGACGGGATTTGTCCCGGATTCCGCGGAGCTCTGTTACCTGTTGATGAACACTTTTGGTATACAACTATGGATATCAATCATATAGTTGGAAGATCTGGAGTATGAGTTTCGATTTTTTTGAAGAACAGAAGTTGAACATCGAAACTTCTCCATGTAAGAAAACGTCAATTTGTTTTGATAATGTACATCGGCGGGTAGGTTCTTCGTCTATGCTATAGACTTCACCAAATGAACGAATATCATATTGCTGACACACAACTCAAGCCAATCTATGCGCAATTTACGGAGCGTAATGGTATACCCAATGAATCAAAATATGTTCCGTGATGAGAAGTTTTTATAGAGTACCATCATGTAATGGGCGTCACAAGCCAGTAATGAGTCTTGCTATGATGGACGTGTAATAAGTGCTGAATAATACTTTATAATAACAAAAATAACTTACTGATCGTGTCACTGCAACCCAGTCAAGTAAATAATGAAGAAATGAGCATTAAAATGCTTCAGTACTTGTAGCTAGACCATTTCGACCATTAAAATGCGTCTTTTAAAATACTGCTAAACTTATAAGTTTTTCGATAAATATTGAATGTCTGTAATTAACAGTGTCACCATTTTTTTTGAAAGAAGATAGATCTCATTTGTTTTATAAATAAGCTGTATATTTTAAGCAAGTAGCCTAACCTTGTTTCTTCTTTCTCAAAATAAACAACTAGGATTCGAAGGTGCTAAAATAGTACATAAGAACTATCGAAATATCAGCGCCTAATCATTTAAGAAGTTAAATTTCCTGTATATCACAGGTAAAAAACTGAACTTTAATTAAAATTTGATATCAACAAAACCAAAGCAGATATCTCTGGTAAAATGAAGTTGAATGATTAGAATTTAGGCACAAAATTATTTTTTTGTAATGTGAATCACATTATGATGTAAACAACTAAAACATATCATGTTCTGTTGAAATCAAGTGTGGTCCTTATTATTCATGTTGTTATTTTTGTTTGCTCGATTAAAGCGATCGCATAAATCGAAATAGACAGATTTTATTTAATGTGATGAAGTCTTCTTAAAAAAGCCGGATGCATAATTTACCTCACATGAATCTAAAAATCTATAGAAAATTACACAAAGCTGATTTTTTAAATGACATTGTAAAAAACACTCTCGAATTTTACATGATACGGTTCATAATAAAGAATACTTAGAAA